CCAGGATAAATGGCAACACTGGGATGAAGGTCCTGGTGTTCTCAGACAACAGCGTAAGTGCACGGATGCAGTGCATGCGCAGAGGGTAGAAACGAGCCGTTGGTACCAGCCTAGAGAGGAGAAAAGAACAAAGGGTATTAGGCAAAGTTTATACACAAACTGCACCCACAGCCTTCAGCAACATTTGTGAGCCTTTCCTACTCTACAGAAGAAAGACAGCTTTAGTATTGCACAGCAAACCGTTTGAGCTGCTGAAGCTATCACACAGTTGGAAATAAAATTCAGACACATTGAAGCCATAACACCAACACCACAGATTCCTGCAACCAAAGCACTAGGTTTCCAGCTTCTGTTGGGAGAAAGTGCTACAAGACCAGAGCTTTGCAGACAAAGTTTATCACCGTTGCTCTTGAGTTATGCTCAACACTCTTGGTTCTCATGTTCCCAGTACACGTAGGTATGCAAGAAAGTGGCAGGAATCCACAGTAAAATGCCCATCTAAAGCAGCAAGTTTGACCAAGAAAAGGGCTCCCACAGCATACCAGAGGGACTACAAGGAGGAAGATGTTTCCCATTTCAGGCTACGTACCCTCTGTGTACCCACAGAGCTCGTGCTGTCTCCTGAAGAGTGACCGTCTTAGCGGAGAACATTGCCAAGGCAGGAGCTGGACTAGGAGTGAACTATCAGACAGGACAGAGCGGGAATGAGAGTGACCTCTTGCAGCCAAATCTGTTCAGCCCTCTCCACCCCAGAGGAGCACCTGAGCTATTCCCATCTCCTTCAGAGAGGCAACGTGTACATTTGAACAGCCAGTAACCAGCATGGAGGGGAAGAGGCTGGACTTTCTTTGATCCACACTTCAAACCATTGCACACTCAGTTATTAAGCAAGAATCACAGACAACTCCCTTTGTAAGGCTGGGACTGAGAAGGGTCAGCTCTCCCAACACTGTGTAACCCAGCAGCAGAGGGGAGAATGCAGACCTATCCCTAAAATACGACAGACCTCATCACTGTACCACTCTAGAAACCTCTCACACTCAATGACCTGTACCTGAAAACATGGATGCCTCCAGCATTAACACAGATTTTTTTTCTTTCTTTCCTTTTTTAAAAAAAAACAAACACAGCTCCCAGACAACAAGCTCAAGTCTGATAAATGAAGCCCTCCCCTCCCCGAAGAGCTTGCTGAGCAATCCAGGAGAGAAAAAAACATGCTTGACCACACACCATAAATAACCCGCATCTCTCCCCCCCCAAATAGTGAAATAATTATCATTGGATCCATTACAGAAATAAATCTACTTTGCACCCCTGATCTGGCACCACTGGAGATGACGAAAGCCATTCTCAGGAATTAATTGATCGAGGAATAAACCTGTTAAGTGTATAGATTTACTGTAAACCAAGACCATTAATTTCAGAGTGTGCAGCGATGCAACAATCTGCTCAACTCCCCGATGGCTGGATGCACAGGGAATACAAAACAGCTGGGTCCCAGCTCTGCTGAGGAAGGCCCAACAGCATAGACACTCCAGGGCGCAGCTGGGGGGTTCAAACTGACTCACATTTCATCTCAGCTGAGAATGCTCTCTAATGCCTTCCCATCCCCATCTCTTGGAACGCCTGCTGTACTTCTCCCGTTCAGCCAGGGCACGGGCTATGGTGTAGATAACAACCTAAAGGCTCCTCAATGTTTATTTTTACTCACTACAGCTCCTTCTGTGCTCCTGGGTGACCACTATCTTCCTCTGGCTAGAGGGCAGAGAAAACTTCTTTCAATATCGGCCTCCACTCCACCAGGACATGTCACAAAGAAGCTGCTCAGGGACACCAAGGCTGTGCTTGCTTCTCCATGGAGGAGGCTGTACCTGCTTGCCTCCCCTATACGTGCTGAGAGGCTGGAAACCAAAACTTAATGGGCAACAAAATTGCTCATTTAACCATAAGCCAGGGAGAAACTTCATTTTTATAGTTTAGACTGGGAGCAAGGTAGAAATCCAAGCAGACCTGTTCAGATAAACACTTTGTGGAAGGAGGGGAAAAGGGGTAACACAGAAGCTTCTGCAACAACTCTGCTGCAAAAAAACAACCGTGAACTAGGACAACTGCAAGCACACAGATCAAAAGGAGGAACTTACAGACCATGGAGGCAGAGAAATGCACAGGCCAGAGAAAGGAAGGGGGAAATCATCTTCTCCGCATTCTGCTATCTCCACAATACCTACAACATTGCCCCACTGGCCAAACCAACTGCAACCTTCCAGCTGTTTGTGAGAGCAGTATCAGTCACTATTACATGGCAATTCCACAAGCAAACTCAATGAGGCTCTTCCCAGCATCACAAAAGTCAGACCCTGTCAGCTCCAGCACTGCTCTATTCAGTAAATCAGCTTCCCTGGACCACAACTTGAGCATAGGTAACTTCCAGACACAACCGAGGTCCATTTCTGAAATGTGTATTATTAAAAAATAGTTTCTATGCATTCTATACATAGCAAAGCAAGAAGAGGGAGCAAGAAAATGAGGGAGCTTATTTTCATTTTAGCAGGCTAGCCTCTTCTAGTAGTTATTTTATTTAATTGCTTTTCATATTCTGCCCTGGTCCCTGCCTAGAGCAAAAAGCCTGTGACGGACGGTGGTTTCTCCTCATTGCCCTCACACAGGAGCCGATCAGGTCCCACTGACGGATGGACAGACAGACAGACAGTCCCCTGCCCTTTCGCTGGAGCCAGGCGCCACCTCCCGGTACGAAGGCACTGGGGAAGGGGAGTGTCCTCCCAGCACTGCCACCCAGGAGCTGAGAGGAAGGAAGGTATCCCAGATGTCACACAGCACCCTTCCCCACCACCTGCTCACATACACGCACCTCTCAAAGCTGAGCAGCCCAGAGAAACAAAGAGAGGGGTCTGGCTCATTCACGCCATCTCCACAGGAAAGTCTGCTTGGTACAGTTGGATGCTGAGCAGCCCCCAAGCAGATGCAGACGCCTGCATGGGCCTTCCAGAAATGCAAAGTGGTAGATGAAGCTAAAAAACTCTCAACCTGCAGGCTAGATTATTTTATCCTCTCATCTCAAATAGAATCAACCCGAGTTCTTCCATCACACTCAGTTGCCACAGACGTATCTACACGAGGGGACGTGGCACAGAGACTGACTCTCGCCAGTCCCAGCCTGGACAGCACAGCCACCAGCACTGTGAAGAGGCTGCCTGCACCCAGCAAAGAACCACTATGATCCCAGGTATAGACTAAAGCCTGTGGAGCTACGTCATTCCCACATCTGCTAACCTACCTACCCCCTTTTCATATCCTGGGCACTGGCTTGGCTCAGCAAGGCAGCCAGGGTGGGATTTATTTCTATTTTCCCAACCCTAGAACCCATCTGTCAGGTTCCCAACCTTCGAAGCCTTGGCAGGCAGTAGCTGTACTTCATGCCAAGCAGCCCTGTCCATCACAGATGCTAACAAATTCTATTTGCTGCTCTTGCTGAGACTCACCCAGTTCACCTTTCCTTGGCCCTAAGTAGCCGATTTATCTGCCCAGACAGGTAGAAAAGTGCCTAGATTCATCTGCAGGACAACCAAAGCTCTACGACACCGGTGGGAAGCAGCCTGTGCGCATGGGGGATGGGAAGAGGGATGTATGCATACTCTAACGATCGTTTAAATCTGCTTATCTTCATCACCACTTGGGAGTTTTTCGAGACCAGGCGGGTGGTGTTTTAAAGCTGTGAATCTGGTTAACAGAGCTAACAGGATTTCGGAGATCACCAGAGATTCAGAAATTCCCTCAATGCTCATTATTAACAGTCACTGCAAAGTACAAAAATTTCATTTATAAACTGACGGGAAAAGAGAAAGAAATTCTCAGCAGAGACACACTAAAAACAACAAATGCGTCCTAGTTCTTCAAATCCTAACAAATATGCATAAAAAATTGCATCTTCTGAGGGAGCTGGGCTTGTTCAGCCTGGAGAAGAGAAGGCTGAGAGGGGACCTTAGAAATGCTTACAAATACCTGCAGGGTGGGTGTCAGGAGGATGGGGCCAAGCTCTTTTCAGTGGTGTCCAGTGACAGGACAAGGGGCAATGGGCACAAACTGAAGCACAGGAAGTTCTGTCTGAACATGAGGAAGAATTTCTTCACTCTGAGGGTGACGGAACACAGGAACAGGCTGCCCAGGGAGGTTGTGGAGTCTCCTTCTCTGGAGATATTCAAGACCCGCCTGGACAAGGTCCTCTACAACCTACTGTAGGTGACCCTGCTTCGGCAGGAGGGTTGGACTAGATGACCCACAGAGGTCCCTTCCAGTCCCTACCATTCTGTGATTCTGTGTGATTCTGTATTTACAGAGCTAGAGATGAGGACTTGATTCTGTACGCCGGCACTGTTAGGTCCTGAGGCAAGTCACTCCATTTTTCCTGACCACTTCATACAACCAGGAGGATAATCTGTCCAGGCTATTCAGACTGCAACTTCTGCGGAGCAGAGAGCCATCAGCCACCATGCACACTCCCTCAAAACAGAGCCTTACTGCTGCAGCACTACTGCACAACGTACAATTACTGGCTGGTATTAGGAGTTCATCTCCCCTCGCTCTCCGATTGCACGCACGCTGACAACACTGGGATTCCATGATAACCACAGGGAGAAATTCCACTGTGGTTCAACTCCATTAATGGAACTAGCAGAGTTCAGCAAGCTTAAACGCACACCAGTGTACCTGGCCAATACTCTGGAAGTGAGAAAAAAATCCCCAAACAACCAAAAAACCCCAAACAATCCACAAATAAGAATAGCTTTCATACTCCCAAAGATACCTGAGCAGGCTTTCCTACTGGTGTGCATATTTTAAGAAAAATAATTTTTAAAAAATCTAAACACACTTAGATTCCAAAACCAAGTCCTCACCTTCTCCCTCATTTTTTCCAAATAGCTCAGCTCTGAGACAGTCAGAAACTGCTACACATGGCATGCTTGCACTTGGACAGTTCTCCATGGAAATATCCAGACAGCTATAACCTCTTGGAAAGAACGCATGCAAATACTACCTAGGGCTACAACTGCTCCAGACACGGCAAAGCATTCCGATGGATGTTCAAAAGTTAAGCTGCCGCACTTGGACTAGTTCTTTGTAGGAATGCTTGGGGATTACTCAGTTAATTTAAGCTTTCCTTCAGAAAAAGAGGACGCTATTTAGAATGTCTTCTTGGAGATACAGTTCTCCAGAAGCAGAGGTACCATGCTTTTTAGCACCAAAGTTAACTGCATTGCTTTGGGTCTCCCCAGCTCCCCACTAGATGATAGCAGAAAGTGTTTGCGTTGTTCAGAAGCGTGCCCAGACCACGCAAACCCTGCAAATATTCTAGAGCATAAAGGAAGAGGAATTCCACAATATTTTCTGTTCTGGCTGCTGGGCACCACTTGGGTACTTTTCACATTAGCCCAGAAATGGCTGCAGTTTGACAGTGGGTCACAGACCAATAAGGGTGCTCACGGAAGGACTTGAACTGGACATCAAATCAAGTAGAAGTCAAATTCCTCATACAGAGAATTTACCTGTGGTGTAGGTTATTCTTTCCTAGGCTTTCTCAGCACCTAAACATACAGGTACACACAACACATCTTCAGCTGGAATACTTCAATCAAAAGCAGCTCTCAGACAATTCCTTACAATGCAAGGTTAAATCCTAATCATGTGCCAGGAACGCCCCTTAGTAACTGCTCTGCCACATCAAGTAAGAGAAAGTAGTATAGCCACGAGAAGAAAAAATCTGACTTACTTTATACAGCCAATGATGACCTGCGTCAAAGGATAGATCAACGGCTCCATGACCTCACTGGGATAGATTGTGCTGAGAACCCGACACCAGAAATACAGGCAGTGGATATACTGCCAGTTATAAACTGACTGGAAGTTCTCCTGCAGAAAAGGGAAAAGCACAGGCACAAACCTGAAAATGTGGCATCTGAGAAGAGTTCACCCTGGTTTCTCTACAGGACTCATTCTACCCAGCATTCCCCAAGAGGACATTCTGTTCTGTTCAGAGAGGATGAACCAACATTCTAGCTGTCGCTTGGATGCTAGTGCCTGACCCACCATCCAGCAAGTTCCGATGCTGCGCTGGCAACGTTACGATTCGGTACCAGTTAGTGCCTCGAAAGAAAGAATGAACAACACACAGGCTGCTTTTCTTCACAAGTATGGCTCACTTGAGCAGGATGATTTAGTGACCCAGCTCACAGCAGCTGGGGGGATGTGTCCAAGCCTCAGGAAACCTTTAACTGTCCTTTCACCCACAGTCCCTGGGACAGTCCCTAGTTTCCCACAGGTAGGAAGGCTGGAAAGTAGTACCCCTCTCCGATACCCTTGTGAATTGCCTTCTGGCCTCTGCAGACCAGAGAGTGGGGGAAAAAAAAAAAGTGTGTAAAGCCACACTACAGATTCAAGCTAGCAAGAAATTAATCTGAATTCTTCTTGATTTCACCTCTCTGCACTCTAACTCCTTTGGCTGTTATATAGCAGCTTGTCCTTCCCACTTCAGGCTTCCCTCCCCTCAGCTGTATTAATTAAAAATCCCCTAACCACCACCCCACTAACTCTGAAAGGTAGTATCAGTGCTCATCTTAAAGATGTTCCTATAAAGGTTCACTGTCCAAGCAAGGACCAAATGGTCAATCCAGCACTCCTCCCTGCTTTTGGAAAAGACGCTACCCAGGACAGTTTCATTTTTTTCAACTGCAGGGTAACAACGACAGGCAGCAGAGCTGAGAACAAACTTTCAGCTCTTTCTCAGCCAGTCTTTAAGGCTACCAGCAAAAACAATGCCACGGGTCAGCAGTGTCCCTGACAGGCAACGACACACCGAACCAGTGCTTCAGGCTGGCTCACTAGTATGGGTAGGTGTGGGTCAAGTCTTGCACCAATTCAAGAGGGACAGTTTTCAACAATGTGCAGGCAAGCCCCTACTCTCTCCCTGCCACGTGCTTAATCAGCCCATAGTGCCAGATTAAATAAAAGCCCAAGAGAGCGCAGGACTCCCTTAAGTACACCCTTTCCAAACAATTTTGCAGGCCCATGTCTTCCCCAGAATTGCATCAAGAATTTGAGATTACACTTAAGATGCCTCAGCTCCAATTTGCGTTTGTTTCAGACAAACTTGCAAGGCCCAGGTCACCTCCTCTTTTGCACAGATGAAGCAAGATGTGCAAGCCCCAAAACAAGGACAGAAGTCCTCGATTGCAGCTACTGGACCAAATCTTTTAGCAGGGACTTAAGCCACAGCTGGGCACGGTAGAGCTCTCCCAGCTCTCACACTAGGCCACCGAGGTGTACCAAGAAGCTCTGTCCTCAGCTTTTCTTGCACAGAACAGATAAGCAATCTGCTCTTGTAATCACCTTCCACATCTACCCACTACTCAATTTAACTTTATTGGCTTATTACTTGGATTTGTATATTTTGGTTGTGCTGCTGTCATTTAAAGTTCCTACAATCCTCCCCCAGCTGTGAAATTAAGAGGATTGAGGTCTTGTCTGGGCCAGGACTGAGGGTGTAAGTAGCCAATGCAATCCAATTAGGGCATATGCAGCCCAGACTTCATTTATTCCCATGTCTGAAGAGCCAGGAGATTTAACTGGTCACCAATCCTACCATGTTTGCGAGCAGCTGAACAATTAATCTAGGAGACTGTTTTGCTAAACATGAATAAAGACAGGATTAGCAATCTGACTCAGATTTCTGAGGTCAGACTGGAGGTGGCTGAAATCAGGGCTGCTCCCACAAGGTCTGAGCTGCTTTGTTCAATTAAGTCCTTTAAATAGTATGGACTCCACTCGAAACATGCACACATCAGGGTGGTTCCTAATCTGCTTTACCTTGAGGTTTTGCAACAGAGGCTGCAAACAGCAGCTTCAGAGTGGAAAAAGAGTGACCAAGGCAGAAGATGGAAAACGAATCAAAAACTCTCATAAACTAGGGAGAGAAAAGTGACTTCCTGCCACGCAGTTGTCTTTTCTCTCCTTCCTTGCTGAAATTCCAAACATAGGTGACTACAAGGTGATCTCTGAAGCTCCCAGCCCCTGGCAAAAAACTCCTCGTCACATTACGAAACAGGTCAGACACAGGCACTGACACTTTAGAGACACCACCAAAAGCCTCAAGTGGCTGCTGTAATTATCCCCTCTCCACGCACTCCCCACAGGAGTGTAAACTTCCTCCACACTGACGGGTACCTACCTTCTTCTTTATCGTCATTGCACTGCGCAAGTGAATGGCAAGCTGACGGATATAGATGAAGGCATGCTGGTAAGAGATGTGTGTGTCCACAGCATACATCTCTGCCAGTGTGCGCTGCATGAAGTTGATCATGGGCAGGACATTGGGAGAGGTGAATCTGGAATTCTTCACAAACGCAATGTACATTTGCTGCGCAGGAAAGAAGATACAACAACATCAAAAATAAAAAACATTATTTCACTAACCTTTTCTGCCCATGTATGTCCAAACCAGGGGTAAAGCGTTCCTTTTATAGGTCAATTAAAAGGAATATGCAAAAATAATAATCCAGCCTGCTCCTTCTTCAGGGGAGATGGGAAAGAATCACAATCTTTTTGCACTTACACATTGTTTAGCTCAGAGCATGGAGACGCCCCTGCAATTGCTTCTTCTCTGCAAGAAGAGGGGAACTGCAGGATGGCTTTGAGCCATACCTGCTTATGGTTGGTCACAGTTCTCTTTCTGTAACAGTGATACCCAAGGAAACTACACTTGGGAACCTCAGCTGTCAGCTGAAAGATCAGGGCAGCTCACTAGCACCGAGCACTGTGTCAGCACTTGAGCACAGCCCTCAAGAATCTGGAAGATGAGCCTTCATCTAGTACACAGATGAGTAACAGAAGCCTTCCCTGCTAAGACCCTGTGTCCCTCCAGCAGGAAGGAAGCAAGATATCACTCTAAACTAACAGAATTCCTTCCTTGTTTAATTTTCTGGATGTAGCCAGCATCACCTCCAGCACCTACCCTACTTACTAGGCTGCAGCTCATGCTCTAAGGTCTTCATATATCACGTGAGAATGAAAAGCTGTGGAGTACAAGTACCAGCCTTACCTTGAGCAAGGGACTTAGGTACACTTCTTTCTTGTGGCGGCAGATCTTATTCAGCACCAGGAAGGCCAGTACTCTCACTGTTTCCTCACCTGTGCTCCACAAATTAATTGCTTGCTGGAACAGAAAATGAAAAGGCACAGATAAGTGAAGGGACAAAGAGCTCCTTCCTGGTTAGGCAGGCCTGAGCTTCCCTCTTGCACACCAAAAAAAGCAAGCAAGGAGGAAGATGACATAAAGATGGCAGGCTGTATTGTCACAGAATCAGTCACAACACCACCAGCAGTCATTCTGCCCTCATACTCTAGCTGTGAGACCCCACAAAAGGCAAGGTTGATGTTTCCACAATCAATAAAGGAAACTGTCCAAAACTAGCATCTCTGTAAAATACATACACTTTTATTCATGTGCCTAAATATACATTTGAGTTTCTGAGCATAGCCACCAGCCTGCGCATGCAACTCAATCTCCTCGGCTTTGCAAAGCTTCCTCACCATCCCCTAGACAGCAACACCACACTAGATTACAGGTTTGGCCAATACATCTTCCAGCCCAACAGAAAAAGTAATTTTTATGTCTTACACTGAACTCTGCAGAATACAACACTGCAATTACACTCCAGTTCTCACCACAAACATAAAATTCTAGTTTCGCAAAGAATGCTATTAAAGATGCACTTGTCTCTGGAGAGGGGACACCAGGGTTTGATTTCTGAATTTATCAGTGCTATTTCCCTCTGGGCAAATAGATTGCAATTCCTGAGACACATCTACTGGTTGTAGTTCTGACTCCATTCCAGTTCCCTGCACATTCACTCTGTTAATGCAAACGACAGAGCAGCAGCAGGGTTTGGAGCCAGAGACAGGACCTGTGTATGGCAGCACTTCTGCTGAGACATATCCTTGCTCACTCTGGTACAGACATGATGACGAGCACCCAGAGCACCATAAAAATATCTACACCAGCTGTAGAGGGGTAGGTTGATCTATGTAGAGGTCTGGGCTAACAGACCACCCACCATTGCCGTGTAAACTCATTAATCCGAGTTTTACACATCTCTGCATTGCATAAAGCAATCATGTCTAGGTCACCTCCCTCAACTTCTTGAGGAACAAACGGATAGATTTTGATCTTTGCAGGCCTGGCTGCATTTGCCTGTTCAGAGTACGGATTCACTTGGAACATGGCTGGCCCTGACAGGAAGCATCTGGTACAGCAGGACCACAATCATAGCTGACGTCTCCAAAAACCAGTTACCTTATCTGCACTGATGAACTCTACAGGAATGATTCCAGCCACAGGGCTGAAAAAGCCTACTCATAAATCCCTACTGTAGCAGTGAGCAGACTGTTACTCCTTCAGATGACGTGTACCAGCCTCCCAACGCTGTATACCCGTCATCTTTATCATCAAAGGGTTCCCAGCCTCATTTAAATGTTGTGTTGCAGCTTTTCATTTAAATGTCACCCTGCTGCCCTCTTCCTCTCTTCCACACCTCCTTTGTTGTTCTTAAGTGCTCAGCAGTTGTGACTAAGTTTCTGCAAAAATATTCCACCCCCAGCTCTCGAATGAAATACTATCACAGACAGACACACAGTCTCAGCACGCAGGCAGCAATTACTCCATCTGCCACCAGGAAGCAGACAGCTTCCCCAGAACACCTGCGTGTCACTGCATGGGGATTAGCAGCAGCTACACGCAGAGCCACATGCCCACCCACCTCAGCGTGACAGCACTTCATGGCACCTACAAGTCCTGTAGGAAAGGCAGGAGCCCTTTCCAGGACCAAAAGAAAAGCAAGGGAAAAGGAGTACAAGGGATTGAACTGCCATGGGATCCAGCCCAAATACCACAAGAGGCTCATCTGCAGGGGTAAAGGAAGTGCCTCACATCCAAATGAGATATCACAGCACATTACCTTACCTTGAGGAGTACACGGCACTGCTTTGGAAAGGACAAATAATAAGGCACTGTGGAAACGACATGCTGAAGGACTGCTGCACCGACTGAGGCTTCTGTTAAACAAGACAGGAGCTATGGAGGGAAAGCAAAATACGATCCCATTTAGTGTGTACTCCTCATCATCTCTACCATTAAGCATCTGCATTTTGCCTTTTCCAAGTATTTCTATGTTAGCAAAGAACTGGAAGAGCAGCCTTCCCCAGTAAGATCAAAGAAACCCCTAAAAGCTCTATCAGACACATGGCAGGTTAAATAACTCCCTTGAAAGTACACCATCCAGGCAAATGTGAGCTCAGGCTACTGGACTTGGACGGCTAATGGCACCTGAGCTCATCACATGAAACCTCATTTGTGTATGCTGCAAAAGCTAAGTCTATATGCAGTTTAGAGACATCTTACAGATGGCATGATACCAATGCCTCTGTCACCTCACTACAAATGGTCAATACACAGTGAAGACACCCTCCGTCTACACAAGGCTTGGAAACGGACCATCTCAGCTATCTGATGACTTACTGGATTTCACTAAAATTTTTTTAATGGGAAACTGGAATAGAATCACAGAATCCTCACAGAATGACCTTAAAGATCATCTAGCTCCAGCCCCCCTGCCATGGGCAGGGACACCTTCCACCAGCCCAGGTTGCTCCAACTCCCATCCAGCCTGACCTTGAGCACTGCCAGGGAGGGGGCAGCCACAGCTTCTCTGGGCAGCCTGGGCCAGGGCCTCACCACCGTCAGAGTGAAGAATTTCTTCCTTACAGCTAATCTAAAATGAAATACTGTTGGGTATCAAGAGGTTAACTCCAGCTCAAGGAGAAGGTTAGACAAACTATTTAAGAAACAACATCTTGGCATTTCCAGATTGTTCAGCTCAGTTCACCTGGAGCCAAACTCAGAGATATTTGCAGTTTCTCATTTGAAGACAATGGTGAGCTCGAAGTCACTTTGAGAGAGGTTCTGCCTGATGCAGAGGCCCCTCTTGCCTGCAATCTCAGTTGCTCGAAGAAGAGGCATTTTTTCTACTTTTAGTTTTCCTCCTCATTCTTCTCCTCGTACTGCAAAGATTCTGGACTGAGCGGGTCTCCTTTACAAAGTCCCTCACACACCAAAAGGAAAGGAGAAGATATTGTTCAGAAACTACTACACCAGAAAACCAGTAGTAAAGCCTGGGACTGGGGGCACTCAGAAGTAAGCACAGGACCAGCGATTACTTCAGTGGCACTGCATTGCCAGCCTTTCCTTTTCTACTGCAATCTTCTGCTGCTGGCGAGAGGCACCACCACTTGAGGAAAAAACAGCTCTACTGATCAAAGTGCTCTTTCTGCTAAGTCATTCTGCCAGCTTACAGCTAAGAGACATCAGCGCTCTCACTTTCTTTCCTTATATCCCCTTCCTTCAGCTTCTGAAGAGTATTTCAATGTTGTTGGGGTTTTTTTTTTGTAATATTCCAAATTTGGAGATGCATGATGAGGCAATCTAAAAGAAAAATTAATTGAGAGTGGGAATTTACTTCAGAAATAATCCATGAATTGTCTCTGAAACACCAGACACCAGCAACTTTGGATGGATGGGTTATCCTAGTGGGATGGAACATACTCGGAGATGTCATATGTGAGGTTACCATCATCATCTTAAAATTTACTACTAGAAGTAGAAAGGTTGTAGCGCCAAAATTTGAATTAAAGATGCAGAATGCAGGAGTACAGCACTGCAAACTACTTTAAAGCCCACTAAATATTAATTTGTCGGACAAATTAAGACAGAAAGAACTGCCAGAACGTTAACCCAGCCCTTCTTTACAGGACCAACCATACCATGGACCTCCAAATGGCTAGTTAGACCAAATACTTCCAAAACAAGACAGGGAACTGGATGGACACACAAACTCAGATGCTCAAGGCTTCGAGACTCAGTGAGATTTCTTTTGCCCACTATAATCTCAGCCAATAAGTCTTATTTATTCTTCTCTGCAGAAGAAAGCATAGAAACCAACATACCAAGAAAGCACAGAAACAATATAGATACCAATATACCCAAGGTTCCCAGTATCGTGATGACTAGGTAGTCACCCTCACACTGGAGTAACTGTCTTTTCAAGAGCAAAAGCACCTGAGGCTACATTGTTACTTGCTTTATCATCTTGTTTTCCTCTCCTTTTAGCAGTGGTGCTTACAGATGCAAAAGCCCACCTGCCTCATTCCAAAATACCCTGAACAAAAGCCCAGCAACGCACAGCATGACCCCAGTAACACAAACACGCTGAAATTTCTTACTTGTATGGTACAGCTGAGGTACACTTTTACGTCCAGTCGCAGCTTGCTCCAAAGTGGGCTGGTAGAAGGAAGGACCATTCTGGAAATGAGCAAGACTTGTGTTTAGCTTTAAAAAAACCCCAGCAAATAAACTAGATTTCAGCAGCAGAAGGAACAGTGAGTCCACTTCCTCAATATGGCCAGTGAGTAAAAACAACTCCTTGCAAAGCGAGAAGTAACAATTCTGTCACAAGTGAAAAGAAGTAATTTACTCTGTAAAAACTGCCTGAAGCACAGCATTAGAAAATTCCATTCAAAGAGATTCCCAGCAGAGTACCCAGATCTCTGGGAGTGTGATACAGGGAACTGCAACAGCCAGAAAGCCTGGTGGAAACCCAAATCACTGATGTTATCTTCTAGTCAGGCATTCTGCAGCCACCACTCGAGAACAGAGAAGGCTGGCTTATAGCAAGAAAGTCTATTTTTGGGCTCAAACTAGTCGTGAGACATTTGCTCAGTCTCTTCTCAGCTTTTGACACTGAACTCATGAGGCGGTGCCCCCAAGCCACCCCAAAATTCAGACACGCTCTGTACAAGTCGGGCACGGGAGGAAAGCGGCTGGTATTCATACAAAGAACTGCAGTGTACTTCTCAGACCAGGCACCACTGTCAACAACGAATGTAGAGTTTAGCTCACCCTTCCCTTCACCTGTGACATGGAAATTAAAATAACTGCTACATAAACTACCTGGAACTGAAAGGTATTCAATTCTCACTCTACCCAGCAATGGGAAAAACAGAAGCGCTCAGACTATGAAGCACATAATAAAACTGCATCCAGCTGCAAGTCCAGAGAGGGCTGAGGTAAAAAGCTTCTGTGAATGTCTAGTAGGAAACAGACACAGAGGTTAAATAAAGCTACTCCAGCTTGCAAAACATACTGGGAACTTCACAGCTTGTTTTATGAAACTGGGCTTATAGTCCCCAGCTGTGGTACTGCTTCATCCAGCAAGAGTTCAGATTCCTCCTCTGCAGTCCAATCAAATCGTATCAGCGAATGCGATACACAAGTACTGGACCAATGCTGCCATTCTGGAAAAAAATGAATTGTACCATTCTTTGCCCACTTGCATGCTTGTTTTCATTCCATCTATGCTTTAACAGTGAGCTGCTCAAACTCAGAAGATCCAGCCCTCAGACCACCTGACTCTAGGGCGTAATACAGCTGCTAAGCTTGGATTAACCGAAGTCGCCTACTTGTGATCCTCTGCCTACACAGAGGGAGAGAGCTTGGTCCCTTTTGCTGAAAGCCAACTCTCAACGCCTTAGCAGTGCTCCGGAGCACAAGCACATGCAATTCCAGATCTCATTCTACTGAAGCCACATGTCCTCTGCAAATGGCTGGATATTGCAAATGTCTAATATTAGAGAGGACACCCTTCTGGGGAAGAAAGGAAGTACCTAAGACAACCGGGAATATAATCAGACAACTTTGCTACTGTTTAGGAAGAGCTGCCATTTTCTTCCAGATTCCAAGGCAGCCTGCAGTTCTGAAAAACCCCAACCAGCTTTCTCTCACCTGCAGTTCTCAAATCTCCTCGGACTTACTTTAGTTTGTTCTTTGGGGGTTTCAGAAGAAGCAGCTTCTGCAGGCAGCAGAAGAGGTCCCGGACACAGAAGGACACAAGGGCATTGAACACTAGTTAAAAAAAGTCAATAAAGCATTTGTAAATGATTTTTCATATATTCCTGGTTTCTCAGCTAACCTGAAAAGAGCTCCCCAAGGAAACAAAGCCAGTAATTCCCATAGCAGAACTATTCACTTCCACAAGCCACCGGAAAACATCAGTTTGTCTTACCCCACAATTTTTTATCTAAACAACAAGATTACCACTGACAGCTTTCTGCTCTCTCACTAAATAGCACCAAGCACAAAAGCAGTCTAACCCTCGACTGGGAGTCTATACCACCATGAATCTCCCCCAAAACATAATGAGAATTAAAAGCACTCTTTTTAAAAAAAAAAGTCCCCAAAATGGACAACACCTGAATTCTACATAACGTCTTGCATTAAGGAGCAAGATTTTACCAAAAGCAATGAAAGAGGCAAAAAGTCCTATGCCAGGCAAGAAAGGATTAAAGAGAACATGTGGGTTTAAGCAGTCCCACCCCACAGTGCCAGTTCCAGATGGCACACAGTAACAAGCTGATAAAACAGTGAGAAAGGACCTGCTAATTTAGCGGTAAGAGTAGGCAGGCTGCAGGTCACATCCTCTGAGACACTAAGATGCTTCCCTCTCAGCCATGCTGTTGCAAGTCTAAAACAGGATTGTTTGCAAAAACGGGAGCAAAAGGGGGCTAGACTGGAGAGAGAGGTCGCATCTGATTTGTTCTACAGGCAGGATAATCCTGTACAGAACGTGATCTAGACATGCAGTATTTTGAGAGGTCCTGGCAAGGGGAACATGAACTTGACAGTGCAACTGAACTCGGAACTGTTGCGAGGTTACAGAACACTATTTAGTATGAAGACTTAAAATAGTCTTGTACGATTAGTCCTAATTGGGAACAGTAAGAAGCTGCAGCAAAAGTTGTCCAGAAAAACAGGCACTGCAAGCACATAAACAGCACCTAACTTCATCTTCACTCTAAGAAGTCTGGTGAATGAAGAGTGGTACTTTCCTCAGCAGTCTGCAAGCCCAGCTGCTCCAGGCACGCACACCAAAAGGTATGCTCACCCACTGGGACACTGGAAGAGATACTGCTGCACAGACTCTCCACCAGGAAGAAGCTAAGCTACTTAAGTGAAATGAAGCCTATGAAAGGGTAAGTTAAGTCCTGCCAGTACTTATCCCCACTCCTTTCCAACAGCTAAACCTTCCCTACCACGACTCCCCTTCTCTCACAGAAGTAGTACAATGACCCACTCACCTGCTGCATCAGTGACTTGAAACTTGCTGGGATCAGCCCCACCACTATCTCCTTTGGTGGTTGCCACACATGCTTTAAAGGCTTGAGTGATTTCATGGAAAAGTTTTGGCGTTAGCCTTCCCTGGGGAAAGAAGAAAAAGGATTGCTGAGGGGAAAAAGCAAGCAATATTCTGAAACTCTGAAGCACTTTACTAGGACAGGAGTATTCGAATTCATTATAAGTTTGATTGCAAAAATAGCTCCATCCTACAGCACAAAGAAAAAACATCAGTGTTAACAAATGCTAGTGGCCTTCACTTGCTCTAAAATGGGCTTCTAGGGCTTTTAATTAGTTGGGGGTGGAGAAGTAATGAATCAGCTGCAAGCAATTTGACCTTTCCCTCCCCCTCTTAGTCAGAAGCAGCAAGCCTACTCAAAATGTGACTAAAAATGTTCTTGGAGCCAGCAAAGGCACAATGCTTAGCAAGAGAATGCAAAGAAGCTAACCATTCTGACCTCTTCTGAGCCACACAAGTCTCTCTAGCTTCTCCCTCAGATGGAGCACAAGCAATCTATTATCTTGCAGCCCCAGCAAAAATTGCAAAGCCAAGTCATGCTGAATTAACAAGAGCTCTAGGAGTACGACCTTGTATGTAGGACATACATCTTCTCTGTAGATTTTTGTGAAAAGTGAACAAATTAAGAGTTGTTCTTTTAGAGGCAGCAACACATGTGGAAGAATGTTTAAAGGAAAATGCTCAGGTGCCTTGTGTTCCAACTCCCTGCTCACCTCTGCAGCTTTTTTCCATTCTTCAACCATCTTCAAGCTCACATGGATGAAAGAAACTCTTTTCCGTTTGACTGTTTCCTGTTCTTCATCATCATCTTCATCACTTGCTTCCTAGAGAAGTCAGTACCAAGACCGAGAAAAAGCTTACATACCTCTTTTCTGGCCCGACCTTTTTTGCTGAGTAGCTACTGAAAAGGAAGGCTGGCAAGCAGCAGTGAATTTTATTAACATTGTTATCAGCAGCTTATGTAAAGCAGTACCCAAATTACAGATATTACAAATTGCAGAACAGCTACTTAAGCCTTGCAGCTTTACTACATAAATACAATGTGCAATAATGTAAAACATCAAGGAGAGGGCATATCACTAGAAGCAAAACAAACTCTTACTGGGAAAGGAGACACCAAACCAAAGCCACAGAGAAAACACACTCCAAGGCTCTGCTTTCACCAGCCTTAAACACCTCATGCTCAGTTAAAACCCACAGCTGACTTCTGGATTACAATCCCCTACACCTGCAGATGATCTCTGCAGAAGCTCCGCTCCACCCACCTGTGCCCCCATAAGCCCACACATACTTAGGTCTTGCACTGAAACTCAAATACTTGACATGTGAGTAATTGAAATCATTGATTTCAGCACACCAGAATAGGGCCTAGTACCTCCAGTGTATCAGGTGGTATGTGCACCCCCTCCTCCTCATCAGAAGTGTCTGAAGCATCAAAATTCAGCAGTGTGCGATCGTTTTCCTCCAAAAACTTATAAAACTCAGGATCTTTGTCCTTCAGCCGGGAGAGCTGATCTTTATGTTCAGATGCCTTTCCCTTCTTCCTGCTAGATAAGAATTAACATGCATTTATTTATTGCTCAAACTTCTGCTGATGCTGTAAGAAAAGCAAGCAACTTCTGGGCACTAAAGCACACCTGGGGCTAATTTGACTGGTGATGGATTTATCAGGGGTGTGGCCGCAGTTCTGTATCCCATTTAACACCTGCTCTAGAGGACATGCAAAAGGTTATTTTCCTTGAGCACTAAGAAACGTTGACAACAAACTATCAGGTTGCATTGAGATACCAACCATATGCCACAAAAATATCTTGCAAAACCAAAAAAATCTGTGTCTCAGTTTCTCAGAATTACTCTCACAAGGTTGTTATACTGCAAGCCATACTGCCACAGAAATCTGACAATGAAAGCTTAGCAAAATCTGGTCTGGTACTAAGGGATTGTTTTGGCTTGTAATAACGATTAACCACACCTAAGAACTACTTCACCATTTTCTATCTGCGGATACTCCAACGTCTTTCAGCAAGAGCAAATAGACACAAACTGAGGAAAAAAAAAGGGAGCTTTCTCTGACTCCAATATACCCTGTAAAAGGTTAAAAGCATACGCGAGCTTTTTTGCGCTGCAGTTACTGAATCGACACAGGTACAACGGCAAACCCGACTGCCCTGCACCCTGTGACCCCTCCGCGGTGTTGAACGCAGTCCCAAAACGGGCTCATTCCACGACAGACACGAGAACCAAGTCCCGCCGTTACTTCTAAAAACAGGCAAAAGGGAAAAAAAACCCAAGCAAGCCGGGAACGC